TCACACTTCCTGTACAGACTGCAGAACCGAGAGCCAATTAAACCTCTTTTCTTTATAAATTACCCAATCTTTGGTATTCCTTTACAGTAATGCAAATGGACTAATACAACATAAATGCTGATGAGAATGTAGAAATGCCAGACCACTTGTACATTACTGGTGGGTATGCAAAAATGTACTAACACTCAGGAAAGCTGTTTAGCAGTGTTTTGAAAAACCAACTTGCAATTACCATACAACCCAGCAAGTGGACCTTCTGAGTATTTATCCCAGAGAGATAAAGACTTATACTCACACAAAAACCTATACATGAATGTGTATAGCAACCTTATTCATAATAGCCCAAAATCAGAATGAACCAAGATGTCCTCCAATGGATATATGGTTAAACTGTTGCATATTCATATCATAGAATATTAATCTGGAATTTAATAAAAAACAATACTATTCCTACATGCAACAACCTGCATGTATCTCCAAAGAATTACAGTGAGTGAAAAAATTCTAATCCTAAAATGTTACACACTGCATAATTTCGTTTATATAATATTCTTGAAGTGACAGAATTATTGAAATGGAGTAGAGATTTGTGGTTGCCAAAGATTAAGGAAAGGTGGGGATGGGAATGGACATTGTCACAAAAGGATCCTTCACTGCATGAAGGAATCCTTGTGGTGATGAAAATTTCTGTATGTTGATTGTATCAATGTACACAGCCTGATTGTGATAGTGTACTAATGCTTTGCAAGATGCTATCATTGGGGGAAACTGGTTAAAGGGTACCTGTGATCTGTCTATACTATTTCTTACAAATATATGTAAATCTACAATTATGTTAAAATAAAAATTTTAATTAAAAAATAATATTTAAAGCCCCAAATACAAAGACCATATTTTGTATGATTCTATTTATATGAAATGTCCATAATAGGCAAATTAATATAAATTGAAAATGACTGACTAAAACTGAGGGTGGGAAGAGAAGTGAATAGAGGCGAATGTCTTTGGGCAATAATGAAAATGTCCTAATATTAGATAATGGTGATGGCTGTACAACTCTGTAGATACATTAAATATTGAATTGTACACTTGAAATGTGTGAATTTAGGCTGTACAACATGTGTCAATGAAGCTGTGATAAAGAAAGTAAGCTAGAGTGATTATATTATATTAGACAAAGTAGATTTTAGTGCAAAAAAAAATTACCAGGGCTATTTTCCTGTAAGTTTATTTCATAATGAAAAGGAGGTCAATTCATTAAGATAACCCAATAATCCTAAATGTTTATGTACCTAATAACAAAGTACCAAATGACATAAAGCAAAAACTGATAAAACCACTAGGAGTACTAGGAAAATCCATAATTATAGTCCAATATTCAAATATTTCTTTCTCAGTACTTGATAGAAAAAGTAGACAGAAAAATCACAAAATGTATAGAATATTTGAGAAGCATTATCAAACAAATTGACCCAATTGACACTATAGAACATTCTACCCAACAATAGCAGAATGCAATTTTTTTCAAGTGCAAGATTGTTTCATAGGATAAAACATATTCTGTACCACAAACAAGTATCAATAAATATAAAAGCTCAAGTCATGCAAAATACATTTTCTCAATTTAATTGGATTATACTAAAAATTAATAACAGAAATATCTTCAGAACGTTCCCCAAATATTTTTAAACTAAATAACACACGTCTAGATAACCTGTGAGTTACAGGTAACTCAAAAAGGAAATTAGAAAATACTTTGAACTGAATAAAAGCAAAACACAATCTAACCAAAACTGTGGGAAGCCGTTAAAGAAATACTCGGTGGTGGTGGAGGGAGAAGGTATAATATTTATAGTACTAAATGCCCACATTAAGAAAGAAGGAAAAACTAAAGTATCAAATCAGAGAACTTAGCTTTCACCTTAAGAAACTTAAAAACAAAGAATAAATTCAATCCAATGTAAGCAGTAGAAAAAAAAACTATTAATAAAAATCAGAAATCAATAAAATAGAAAACAGAAAAATGACAGAGAGAATCAATAAAACCAAGATTTGCTTATTTAAGAATATCAGTAAAAATTGATAAATATTTAACCAGGCTGCTTAATAAAAATAGAGATAAGACAGATTAACAATATAAATAATGAGAGACATTGCAACTGCACAAATTCCACACTGGTTACACAGTAATAAAAGCATATTATAAACAACTATTTGCCAATAAATGTCAATAAATTTAAGAATTTAGATAAAATAGATAAACTAAAAAATTCTTATTACCAACCCTCTCTAAAGAAGAAATAGATAACCTGAATTTCAATCTATTTTAAAAATTGAATGTGTAGTTAGAATCTTCTGACAAATAAAAATTTAGCAGCAGATAGATTCATTGGTGACTTCTACCAAATAGTTAATGAAAAATATACAAATTTCATATCATCTTCTAGGTCACTGAAGAGGAGGATATACTTCCCAACTCATTCTATAAAGTCAATGTTACCGAGTTACCAAAATCAGACAAAGATATTACAAGAAAAGAAGGCTTCAGATTAATATCACAGATTAAACAAATTTTTGGAAAGTTGAATTCAACAATATGCAGCCATAAAAAACGATGAGTTCGTGTCCTTTGTAGGGACATGGATGAATCTGGAAACCATCATTCTCAGCAAACTGATACAAGAACAGAAAATCAAACACCACATGTTCTCACTTACAGGTGGGTGTTGAACAATGAGAACACGTGGACACAGGGAGGGTAGCATCACACACTGGGGTCTGTTGGGGAGGACTAGGGTAGGGACAGCAGCGGGTAGGGAGTTAGGGAGGGATAACATGGGGAGAAATGCCAGATATAGGTGATGGGGATGGAGGCAGCAAACCACATTGCCATGTATTTACCTATGCAACAATCCTGCATGTTCTGCACATGTACCCTAGAGCCTAAAGTGCAATAAAATATATATATTTTTAAAAAGGTAATAATTAAGACTAGGTGGAATTTAATCCAGGAATTCAAGGTTGATTTAATGTCTAAAATTTATCAGGGTAATTCACCACAGAAACACATTTTGAAGAAAAGCCATATGCTCTATACAGACACAAATATAGAATTCAACAAAATCCAGCATTCACTTAGGACAAAAATTCACAGCAAAATAATAGAAGAAACTTTCTCAACCTGATAAAAGGCATCTATAAAAAATATTAATGCTTTCTCACATGACACATCACCAAGACCAAAAACAACAGCACAAGGATGTTCTCTTCCATTCAACACTGTGCTGAAGGTTCTAGCCAGTGTAATAAAAAATAGGAAAAATAAATAAATGAAAAGGAATCAAGATTGAAAAAGGAGTAAAACTGTCTTCATGTACACCCAGCATGACTGTTTATGTAGAAAATCCAATGAAATCTATGAAAAGCCACTAGAACTAACAAATGAGTTTATCAAGGTTGAAAGACACAAGATAAATATAAAAAAAATTCAATTTTAATATACTAACGATATAGTAATAATAAACAATCAAAAATTAAAATTGAGAAAACAATATTATTTATAAGAACATCAGAAAATATAAAATATTTAGGGAAAGATCTGCAAAAGTTGTGAAAGATATGTACACCAAAGACCCTAAAATAGTACTTAAAGAAATTTCTAAACACCCAAATAAATGGAAATGTATATACTATGTTCATGAATTGGAAGCCTGAATATTGTTAAAAGCAAAATGTCAGAACCCTCCAAATTCATCAATAGATTCAATGCCATCCCATTTAACATCTCACCATGCTTTTTAGTAGAAAGTTTTAAACTAATTCTAAAATATTTCTAGAAATTCAAAGAACCTGAAATAGACAAGACAACTTTGAAAAAGAAAAAAAAAAAAAGAGCACGTTTGGAGGATTAGCATTATCTGTTTTTATGAGTTATAAAATTGTAGTATTAGAATAGTGAGGTATTGGTGTAAACATTGATGTAGCAGAATAGAGGCCAGAAATAGACACAAACATATATCTTCATATATATATAGCTGAGTTTTGACAAGTTTATAAAAGCAAGTAAAGGTAAGACGTTTAAATCTTTTCAACTAATGGTATTAGAACAATTGGATATTCACATGTAAAACTATATATTTTTGATCATTCTGTGCACCACATACAAAAATCAACTCAAAAGGGTAATAGACCTAAATATAAAACCTAAAACTTTAACACTTCTAGAAGAAGGCATAAGACAAAAGCTTTATGACCCTGGATTAAGTAAAGGCGTCTTAGACATAACTGCATAAAAAAAGAACTTGTAAATTGAACTTCATCAAAATTCAAAATCGCTCTTCAAAGACATTGTTAAGAGAATAAAAAGACAAGCTGTTAAGAGAATAAAAGACAAGCCACAGACTGAGAGAAAGTATTTTCAAACCATGTATTTGGTGAAAGATGTTTATCTATAATATATAAATAACCTTCAAAAATAAATAATAAGAACATAAACAGTGTTATTTAGAAATAGACAAAAGATTTGCCTTCACCAAAGAAAATATACAGAAAGCAAAGAAACATATGAAAAGAAAAACAACATTATTACTTGTTAGCGAAATGCAAATTAAAGCCACAATGAGATACCCCTGTACTCCTATTAAAATGGCTAAAATTAAGAAGCCTGAACATACCAAGTATTGCCAAAAATGTGAAGCAATTGGAATTCTCATACACTGCAGAGAGAATGTAAAGTGGCACAACTAATTTTGAAAGCAGCATGGCAGTTTCTCAAAAATTTAAACAACCACCTACTATATGATCCAGTCATTCTCCTCTTAGGTATTTACCCAAGAGAAGTGTAAGTGTATACCAATGCCAAATCTTCTACGCAAATGCTCACAGAAGCATTATTTGTAACAGCCAAAAAAGTGAAAACATCCCAAATGTCCATCAATTGGAGAAGAGGCAAGCTGTGGTATATTCATATAATGAAATACTATCAGAAATGAACTATTGATATATACTACAACACAGATGGATCTCAAAATAATTATGCTGAGTGAAAGAAGGCAGACAAAATGTGTGCATATTGTAGCTTCCATTTATATAATTGTAGGAAATGCAAATGAATCTATAGTGACAGAAAGCAGATTAGTGGTTGCCTAGGGATTGGGGGTGGGGGGTGCAGGAGAGAGGGATTTCAAAGGGGCACAAAGAAACTTTTGGAAATGATGGATATGTTCATTATCTCAAATATACGTATGTCAAAACTCATCAAATGGTATAGTTTAAATATGTTCAGAATATTGTATGTCAATTATATTTTAATAAAACTTAAAAATAAAAGGTAAAGGCATCCATGAAGAGATACAGGAGCAATAGGGAAGATTGTTTCATCTCTTCCCTTCTCATATTCTACCTTCCCAGTCACAGCCTGGGGATGGTGAAGGAAGAGAAAGAGTGAAGTTGAGGGGATATTGGGACTTGGGCCAGCCCCAGAAAAGCCACAGCTTCCCTGTTCCTCCTACCTGCTACTCTGCTCACTTCCACAGCCTGTTTCTTAAATTGATGTGTGAGAGCTGGCAGGGACCTGAGAGATGATAAAGTCATATGCAATAGTCAGCAAATGTTTGTCAAACACAGTATTGGTCAAAGAAACAGAACCTATTGCAAATATAGATATAGATATAACTATATATATATGACTATATATATAACTCTCTATATATGACTACATATATATAGTCATATGTTGCATAATAATGTTTCAGTCAACAATTGACTACATATACGAGAGTGATTCCATAAGATTATAATGGATATTTTATACTCTACTTTCACTGTACATTTTCTATGTTTAGATACACAAATAATGAGCATTGTGTTACACCTACCTGCAGTACTCAGTACAGTAACATGTCATAAAAGTTTGTAGGCTAGGAGCAACAGAGCATACCATATAGCCTAGGTATATAATTGGCTATACAACCTAAGCTTGTGTACATACACTCTATGATATGTCCACAATGACGAAATCGCCTAACAACACATTTCTCAAAAGGTAACTCCGTTGTTAAGTGACACATGACTATAGACACACACACACATACACATACATATATATAAAGAGAGAGACAGAGAGAGAGAGATGTTTATTAAAGGATCAGTACATGCAATTATGGAGGCTGACAAGTCCCAGTATCTGCAGCTGGCAAGCTAGAGACCCAAACGAGTTGATGGTGTTAAGTTCCAGTCAAAGGGCAAAGGGCTTGTTCCAGCTCCAGGTATTCAGGCAGAAGTGGCCTCTTACTCAATTTTTCTGTTTTATTCAGATCTCCAACTTATTGGATGAGGCCCACCCACATTAAGGAGGGCAGCCTTCTTTACTAGTCCACTGATTCAAATGTTAATTTCACCCAGAAACACTCTCAGAGACACACCAGAATAATATTTGACCAAATGTCTGGGCACCCTGTGGCCCAAGCAAGTTGGCATAGAAAATAATCCATCATGCTCACTGTGGTGACTCTTGTTGAAGATGTGGGCAGGGCTAAGAGGAAGTGACAAAGGATAGTGCAGCACTGTGGGATTAACAATATAAAGGAGATACTGCCACTCCGAGGCTAGGACCTGGCGGGGAGCAGCTACCAGCACCTGGGCTCAGTATCTGCAGGAGGTGAACGTGAAACTGGGGTAGTGGCCTTTTACAGAGAGATGTAGACAATCCACTGCCCAGTAGCATGAGAGCAAGGGAAGTCCATATCTTAACCTTATTCTTCTTCTGCCCCAGTTTCTGTACTGGTACTTCACATTAGCCAAGACAGAGGGAAAGCAAGCCCATTGAGGCAGTTCATACAAATCAGCCTCCCGGGGCCCAAAGCAGGTCAAAGAAGACTCAAAAGTGGCTCAGGAGGGGTCAATGAGAAATATACAGTGCACCCCATTACCAGTGAGGCCATTAAGGCTCAGAACAGTTAATTTCATAAGGAACAATTAGCAGAGCCAGAACCAAACCGGCTTTTCTGACACCGAGTCCAAAATTCTCCCTAATTCTTCCTGCTGGCAGTCTGCTTTTTTCTTTCTCTAAGATGAGTCAAGGGGCTTCTTTGGGACTCACGACCTAGATATTGAAGGGCTTCCAGCTTGATCTGCAGATGTGATTGGGGCCCTGGGGTCTGCATTTCCCTATTGTCCTAAGACCTCCCACTCCTGACCTCTGCCTACTTCACCAAACACTTTATTTATTTTGTTGAGACAAAGTTTTGCTCTTGTCGCCCACGCTGGAGCACAACGGTGCGATCTCAGCTTACTACAACCTTCATCTCCCAGGTTCAAGCAATTCTCCTGCCTCAGCCTCCTAGTAGCTGGGATTACAGGCACGTGTCACCACGCCAGGCTAATTTTTGTATCTTTAGAAGAGATGGGGTTTCACCATGTTGGCCAGACTAGTCTTAAACTCCTGAGCTCAAGTAATCCACCCCCCTTGGCCTCCCAAAATGCTAGGATTACAGGTGTGAGCCACTGCACCTGGCTTCACCAAACACCTCCTGTCCCTTTAGTCACTTCGGCTGCTTGTCTTCTTCCAGTCCCTCAAAGGCACCAGCCTTTCACCTGCCTCTGAGCCTTTGAACACACACTTCCCTCTTCCAGTAATGCCCTTCCTCTCACTATTCTCCTAGCTCAGTCCTCTTCTTCCCTCTCTTGCAGAGATACTTCTGTTACCCACCCACCTGCCATTAGAATTCAGCCACCTTTCTATTCACTCTTATTGCCCCCTGTTCATTTTCTTTATACTCTTATAGAATGTGTAATTATATTTATATTCAGAAATGCTAACAATTGTTTCATAACTATCACTCCCACTGGCTTTGAAGTTCCATTGGGGTACGAACTATGACTGTTTTGCTTACTGCTGTAAATTCAGTGATTTGCACAATGCCTGGCACACAGTAGGTGCTCAGTAAATATTTGTTAAATGAATTAAGCAACTATCTGTGTAACAAATCTTAAATCCCAGCAAAAGAGGGAATCCATGAGAGGCACTAGCCATCAAGGTAGGTTCCCAGACTCAGGGCTTCCCTTATGAGGAACCTATCACTTTCCAGTAGAGATTTTGGAAGCACCCCTCTGTTTTATGACACGCTTATAGAATGCCCCCATTAAAGCACCAAACCTTTAGTTTAAGAAAACTTAGGTATTTTATCCCCTTGAGAAAATGACAATCCCTTGAGGAGGAATAGGGATTTTAAGCTCATCAGTCACTTATACCTCAGGGTAGGTATTTATTGAACCCTTTGATCCTTTAAAAGAAAAGTACCAGAGAAAGAATGCTGGGAGGGAGATGGAGGAAGGACCCCAGAAAAAGGAAGGATAGAGAGTGAGGAGGCTAAGGCAGGCCCTGCCTAGATTCAGATTCATTTGACCATTTGTTGAGCATAAACTATGTGGCAGGCATGTGCCTGGTGCTTTGCAGACATTCTTTCTAATCCTCACAAGCTCCAAGAGAAGCAAGAATACCAGCCCCATCTTATCCATGAGGCCATTAAGGCTCATGAAGGTAAAATAATTTGCCCAAGACCACACGGTATGCAAGTAGGAGAACTGGGATTTCAATCTTGATCTGTCTGGCTCCAAAATGCATGGTTTTTCCCTCTAACTTGACAGATTCCTCCAAAAATCATGGGATAATCTAGAGAGAATGTCAAAACTTAAACCTCCCTGTGGCAGAAGGCCTGGATAGACTCCGGCAGATATTCCCATCAAGAGCAATGGAAGCCACAGCTGAGATCCTCATGTATTTAATGAGAACAATCATAACAACAGTAACAGTAATAATAATAACTAATAGCAAGTGCTTATGAAGCCCTGTGGCCAGAACCATATTAATGAGACCCTCTCACATATCCCTCACCTCAGCCCCAGGAGAAGGGTGCCTTTATGAGCCTTATTTTACAGAGAAGGAAGCTGAGGTTTAGTGAGGTTAAGTTATTTGCCCAAAGTTACACAGCGAATAAGCCAGGAGGCAGGCCCCAGAGTTCCAGCTCTGACTGCTCTACCCCTTTCAAGGAGTACAGCTCTTAAACTCTCCATTGGGGTGCTGTGATTTTTTGGGGTGGGGGGCTTCCTTCCTAAAGAACTGCCCACTATTTGGGCACCTGGGGCATACCATGCCTCTCCCTTCTTCCCTGCACCACCCCACAGCCATGTGGGCAAACACCCTGCCTCTCCCCAGGCAGGGGATGCCCAATTTGCATAACTTAATTAAATTCTGCATTCTCGTTTTCGGAGAAGCAGGCCTATGAAGGATGCTGAGTGCATGGTCTTAAGGCAAATCAACGCAGATGATGAAAGAGCCTATTTCGGTTAAGCAAATTATGAGGAGGCGGGCGATGTCCTCACTCTAATAATTTCCCGTGAATTATTTATATGGAAACTGCAATTACATCGGGCAAAACAGTGTTGTGTGCATAAAGCTCACTTAATTACCCAACCACCTGTTGGGACACAGGGTCCTCCACCAGCCCATTTCTTCCCCCAACAGGTCCTTTCTTTGGAAGGGCAGGGAAACCGGGGACCTGAGGCAGGCGGAGCTGGGAGGAAAACTGTGGCTGCAAGGCCAGGAAGCACGACCTCCACTAAGCAACCAGCCTCCAGGCACCCAGCCCTGCTGCCTCTGGTCCAGCCTGAAGCGACACTCCCCATTCTCTAGGGCCTGGGCAGCGCCTGGCTCTTCAATGCCTCTATCTCATCCCTGCAAACGAGACAGGAAAGTGAGGAGTAAGAAAGGGAAAAACGAGAGGAAGAAACGCACTCCACACCCTTCCCAGCAAACCCTGTAACCAAAGCAAACGAGACTTCTTTCATCAGTGCCCTGTTGTTTAACTGGAAATGAGGGTTGCCATGGCAACCATCCTGTCACATAGTATTTCTTACCACTTGCCAGCGGGAGAGGCGTTGATGTGGAGCGGAGAACTCCGACTGGGTGAGGAAGGCTGGAGAGGTGGGGGTTGGATTGTTTGTGATCCATTTGTTAAAACACAAGGTCACACAGGCCTGTCCCTAACCCGGAGCATCTTGGGTTCCTCTCCGTTTCCAGGATCATGTGGGTGGGGCATGGGAAAACAGCTCCTTCTACTCACCCCCTGGGGAAAAAAAACATTGTAAATGTCAGAAATGTGATGGAACTGTTAAAAATACATGACATCGGTAATACAATAAATGGTGAAACATATATTCTTCTTTGCTCTGTGACTGTAAAAATCACAAAATTTTCTCCAACTAAAAGTAAAAACAAAGAAAATGTATGACCACCGGGAGAGGATGGACAGGAATCAAGAGTGTCAGTCGCAAGACGGGGGCAAGTAGCCCTCCTTCATCCCCGAATTTTAATCACAATATGTCCAGGCCCCAGGGAGCAGATACGGGTCTGATTAAAGGTGGGCAGAAGGTAAAGTTAGTCATGTATGCGCTAGGCTTGTGGAGAGGTAGGGTTTGGAGATCCGGGCCGCCTCCTAACTGCTGGTTACTGAAAGTCGCTGGAGATCAAGAATCCTGGCTTCTAACCCTGATCAATCGCTTACTGCTATACAATCTTAAGAAACTGATTAACAGGGGGAAAAAAAAGAGAAACTGATTAACAGAGAGATCTTTTAGTTAGCTCTGAAGTTCAAATACAATGACTGCAGTACCCTGATTTACTTCACAATTAATGATGCACATAGCAAGTGGATAAAATAATAACTGTATTTAGTAGCTTAAAATAATGATAATAGTTGACATGCATGGAACACCACATATATGCCAGCACTAAACTGAGCTTTATATACATTTATCATAAATCCCATCTCAGAGACTGAAAAACAGAGGTTAAGTGATGGGCCCTAGCTACAAAGTCAGGAAGTGACAAAGCCAACCTGGAAACCCAGAGCTCTCCGACTCAAAACTCATGCTCTTCTTGGTAGGAGGAAGTCTGGAGATCATAATCCAAGTTTTCCGACAGTCAAGCTCCCAGCCCACGTCTCTACTGTAGTTGGTCTCAATCCAGTCTAGGACCGGCTGCTTAAGGGATGAAATGGAGTGTTTTTTCTCCTTTAAAGATTTACCATGTATAAATGTATGAGAATATTAAAGGCAACAATTAACTTTATTGGAAACCTTATATTCTCCAGCCTCATTAGAGCTGCCAACAAGATCTATTATTAGTATTACTATGCAGATACTGTAATAAAAAGGGTATTTAAAGTGGATGGTTTGGCAATGAAATAAAATAGCTTTTCTCTCTCTTTCTTTTCCTTTTCAAGATATATGTGTGTATCAGAGATGGTCTGGAGCAAGGCAAAAGCCCATGAGACCTGAGGACTGAAGAGCTCATAAAATTTCCCTTTGCCACCATTGCAGACAACTAGGACAGTCAGGTGGGGACGGGAGCTAGAGGTCATCAGAGCCCTCTTAGCCTCTCAGCAGGCTCGCCCCCAATACCAGTTGGAAGAGAAGGATTTCTGCAGTAGAGAAGATCCTGTTTATTCGAGCAGAAATGTGCTGTAGGGTCCAAATGCTGTCTCTGTACAGTTGTGGGCATCTAACCAAATCCTTCTTGGTAGCTTCAGCATCTTTCATCTCATCTACTCATCACAAAGATGGGAAGTGATTCCCCTCACCCCTTCCCTCTCTCTTCCTCTAATACCCCACATCCCTGCCCTGGGTTATGGAAAGTCAAAAAGAAGGAGAGCCTGTCTCCTTGCCTTCTATACCCTGGCTTGCCTCCCCTCCTAGCTCAATTCTTTCTTCTCAACTCAAAGTCTCCCTGGATGAGGTGAGAATTTCTCCCAGGTCTGGCTCAGGAACACAGGGAGCATGGGTTGCTTGGGCTTCCCCACTCCTCAGCCTGCCAGCTTCCATAACACGGAGAAGATGCTGCCCTCCATCCCAAGGCCACCTGTTCCTCCTCCCTGAGCAGTGGCTGCCTCAGTCCCCACTGAGCATCCAGTGATGCCCTTTTCTAAGAACCTGGGATGGGTGACAGAAGGGGCAGCTGGCATCTGATCTCTGACTCCCTGGAAGCACCCCTGACCTGCTGAATGGAAAAGTCACAGCTTCACTGGAGGCTCAGTTCTCCTGTGAAGCCTTATAGAGCTGAGCCCACACTTATGATTACTACCCTTTTTATTAATGCTAATAGTTACCATTTACTGCATGCCAAATACTGACTCATTTACTCTCCATGGCCACCCTGTAAGGTAGGTACTCTTGTTATGTTCATTTTTTGAATAGGGCAGGTAAGTTTCAGAGAGAAGATATAATATACTCAGCCTTCATCAGTGCTCAACTGGACCTTTACAGTAGACTTCTCACTGGTCTCCTTACTGCCACTCTTGATGATCTGCAATTCATTCTCCAGTAAGGCAACACCCTGTAAATCTATTGAATGTGTCAGTCCTTTTTGTGCCTCAGGGCCTTTGCACTGGTTGTTTCCTCTGTCTCAATAGAATGTTCTTCCTCCATATTACCTCTTTATCATCATTCAGACTTCAACTCAAGGAGACCTTACCTGACCACCTTCACAAGCATGCACCTGCCTGTTTTATACTCCACACTGTATCACCACATGTCCAGTACCTGGAATAGTATGTGGCACATAGTAGGTACTCAGTAAATATTTCCTAAGCGAATATTGATGAACTTATCCAAAGTTACATACTAATCAGAGTTAGAGCAGAGAGTCAAATGCAGGACTGTCTGATTCTTAACCACATCACACATATGTGTGTGGTTTGGTTGTTCAGGAGAAAGAAGAGTGGGATGGGGGCTCCCTAGGGCCACTCAAAGACAACCCACCAAGAGTCCGAGGTCCTTTATAGGACCCAACTAGAAGCCAAGCAGTGGGAAGGCCAGGTGAGGACATTAAACCCAAGGAAGGAGGGAAGGAAGAAGGGTTGAGCACGTAATCCCAGGGCACTGATGGAGAGGAGACAGGGGCTGTAGACTGGAGGCCAGGGTCACAAGTGAGCACTGCTTGGCTATGTGATCCCTACTCCAGGCTACCAAGACTCACTAATCCCAGATGACAATCACTGGCTCTTACTTGCCCCTCTCAAAGAGAGAGAAGACATGACTGTACGAGAAGCTGTGGGAAGCCAGGGACCAAGTCTCATGTGCTGGGTACCTGGCTTGAGGGACACACTTTATGAATTCTCCAGTTCTGAACTTCCCTTAGTGAAGTCCGTTTTACCCTGAAACAGCAGTCAAGCCACCTGGGGCAGGCGGGGCTGGGAGGCTCCTCTGTGCCACGGTCCCAATAAGACTTCACACACCCACCTACACCCAGGCAACACTAGCGGTCAGTTGTGCCTTCTGCCTGTGACCCAGGGAAGGCTATTCTATACTTCACTTTTAACTTACAACAAAGTGTCTAACATGCCCAACAGTAATCACTGAGCTCGTACTATTATCATTTTGAGCTCTGGGGAGATGGAAAGAATGCAGAAAACACTATCTCTTTTGGGAGATCAATAGTTTAACTGGGAGAAGGACACACACACACACACACACACACACACACACACACACACACGACATACTACTTAACTGCTTAAGAGCACGGACTACGTCAGGCCAGGCAGACTCACATCCAAGTCATCACTCAGCCACTTCCTATTTGGGCAATTGTTTCCAGCTGTCTAAGTCTCAGGCTTTCCGTGTGTGCATACACAACAGTGCACGCATCCCTCACACACTATTGTGGAAGCAAATAGCAAAGCACTTCGTGAGCTGTCTGCTACCCACGTGCTCAATAAGTGAGAGGAGTTGTTGTCATTGCCATTGTTGTTACAGGAAACAGCCCACAGGTCACATATTAAGAAGTACAAATTAATTCATTCATTCCAGGCGAATGCAGCTCATAACTGCTGAGAAGACCCTGATGAAGAAATATCATTGAATGATGCTGTGGGGGCGGGCAGACTTCTTGGAATAGGCAAGTTTTGAAGCTAGGAGATGATTCAGAGTATTAGCATATCAAGAATGATTTCTAGGGCTTGTCAACTTTTCCTTTTTTACATTATAGCACACAGATAAAATGGCAATATTTGCTCTGCATGCTGGAGTCAATAGCACAGGCTACTCGCAGTTAGAGGAGACCTTGCTATCCTGACCCACCCAGGCATCTCAAGGGCTGAGGGATTTGCCCCCTCAACACACAGGTAACTTAGTTGTGACTCAGCAATGTGGCACAGCAATCTAGTGGGGAGCTCTGGTTTAGAACAAGTACATCAATTGACAGATGACCAAACAGACTTGGGGAGCAGAAGTGACTTAGCTGAGGTCACTCTGGGCCAGCACCAAGCAGAGAACCAAAGGTCCTATACTATATTGTCTGTTCTCAAAAGATAGGAGGACATCAGGTCATGTGAGAAGGTCAAGTAGCTCACCCCAGGGCAAAGGAGTGGGGCTAAATAGCATTAATGGAAGAGATCTGACCCAGTAAATAGTAAATCTAACAGTAGCTAAACTGGGCATCCAGGGTCTCTGGCACTGTGCTAAGTGCTTGGCATGCCTTATCTTGTTCGTGGTAATGGCCCTATGAAAGGTCACTGTGTTAATCAAATTGTGATGTCAGCTTTGATGGTCACCAGAGGAGAAAAACCAGGGTGGGGGGCTGTCTCCAGGGCCATGCTAGTCACACTTACCTGGAGCAGGAAGCAGGCTGATCCTTTAGTTTCAGACCTCCACAGCCAGGGCCAGAGAAGACAGCCCAGAGAAGAATGGCAGAGCTTGCTTCATCTGAGCTGAAGGAAGCCCCCCCACCCCACCCCCTCATTCTCCTCCTCTACCTTCCTTACCTGCTGCATCCACGGGAGCGACATGCTTGCCCCCTGCCACCTTGCCATATGCGTCTTCGGCAGCCCATCTCCCAGGTGAGAAGTGTGTCAGCATAGCCCGCACTCCACCACTATTTAGAACCTCAGCCAGGACTTCTGAGGGCACCAGCAGCATGCAGGGAAGTAACTCACAGACACTCAGCTTAATCAAGGATACGCTTGGCCCAGCCTGAGGCCCAAGTCTGGCTTCTTCCATCTGGATCTGTTAAGGCCCTGGCTGGTCGGACAATGCCTCTTGGCCTCAGTCCTTGGATATACTTAATCCTTTCTGGTCAAACTACCCTCTCAGTTGCCACCTGACAGCCTTGGTGCCCGTCTCAAAGGTCTTCCACCAAGGCTTCTTTGCTTGTGTCCCCTCCCTTGGCTGAATGCAGCTCCATGCACCCTATGTCCGGCCCTTGTCTTCAGAAGCCCTCTCCTTCTCATGCTAAGTCCCTGCATTTTCAGGCTGTGTTCTGCTCCTGGCCTTCCCCGACACTGTGCTGCCTAAACAAACACAGCTACGACTTTCAGACGGCACGGCAGAAATGGGAATAAAATCGGCATTCTTCCACTTGGCTCAGGGAGGCCTGCTGCATGACCTTGCCCTTGCCTCACTCTTCACCCTTATCGGCTGGCACCTCCTCTCGCACCCCACTCAACCACGCTGATGTTGGCGGGTGGTTGTTTCTTCCATGACACCAAACTCTCCTCCTGCAGGGCTGTGTGCAGGCTGCCCCCTCTGCCTGGAACACTCTTGACCTGACCCCTGCTGGTCCTGCTTATCTAAGCTCAATATAATCGCTTATTCAGATGAGCCTTTTCTTACCACCCTCTCTAGAGAGTAAGCCCCCACTCTGCTTTGTCTCTTGTATCATCACCCAGATATTTTCCTTTGTACCACTTGTAAAAATCTAGGATGATATGTTCATCTCCCGCACTACGAGACAAACTTCTTGAATGCAGACCATGTCTTCTCTCCATTTTCCCCTTGGCTGGCATAATTCTTGGTATATACTGGGCATTTATTTAAAATGTATGGAATGAAGGATTGAATGAGTTATATATCCTAAATTTCAATCCCAACCTTGCTGCTGACTAGCTGTGTGAACTTGGCAAGTCACTTCCTTCTTTGGGACCTCAATGTCTCCTCTGTTGACGGGGATAGAGAGGGTGATGGTTGAAGTCATCCCAAAGGTTCTTCCGGCTCTGCTCCTGCTGCAGCCAGGAAGTAACCTAGAAACCAGCATTAAGGGCACAAAGCACCCCTCAGCCAAGGAAAGATCTCACTTCCCCATGCTCAAGGTATGAAAAATACTTCCATTATAGGAGAAGTAGCTTGCACCAGCATGAACAGCCTGAAATGGAGGCAGCCCTGGGACTGGTAGGCCTTGGCAGAGGCACCAAGGCCCAGTGGGCCACAGTGTGGGAAAAGATGGGGGCCTGCAGGAAAAGCGCCCCAGGCCTTGTCTAGAGCTGGCTGGTGAACAGAGGAAGCCTCTTAGCCTGGGTCCTTGCATTCAACAGAGCTCCGAACCTCTGTGAGGGAGCACCCTGGGACCCAGGATAGACACAGTACTTGTCATCAGAAAAAGGAAGCTGTTTAATCTATGTTTTAAAGTTTAAATGATTCCACCTGAGATTTACTGCGCCTGGCCTCTCTCATCTCCCAACCCAGCTCTCAATACTTCATTCAAATTCCATTACTGTGCTGACACCCCTCCTGGAGTTGAGTTCGTTGCAAGGAGTCCCCCACTTTTATTTCCAAATGAGCCTCCCACTCTCCATCTCTGCAAAGTTCCTTGACCCAAAGGCAGCTCCAGAAGCCATGCTGGGATAACCCACTCACTGTCTAATGGGGATGCTGGGCATTCAACAGGTGAACCCCAACCCCGGTAAAGTATCTGAGAGGCTTTGAGCTTCTCAGGGCTCCTGAAATTTGAGGTCTCATGGCACATACACTGTTTTATCTCCTCCTCCTACAGCCCAACTCTTAGAATTCTTTTATCATGCTGAAGTTTGGGGCAGACATCAGCTGTAGGGTTGTGTGTTGGGCCTAGGGTACTGCAAAATCTCACAGACAAGCCTCTTCTACATTAGTTCTCTAAGCTTCAAGTGTGTGTCCAACCTCACCACATGGTCTTGAGCCTTCAATGGCTCTATGGGTGGTTTCACCAGCCACCGTGATGTCAAAAAGCTCTGGGGCTTGGTTAGCTTTGACTTTCCAAAGATCTTCCTTTCTCTCTTCATATTTGATCCCCATAGCACCCCTAGCAGCGGCCTGCTCTGTTCAAAAAACCAGGATGAGGAGTTAAGGGCCTGACTCTGCCCTTCCCCAGCCATCAGATCAGGCAGGTTACGGCCTCTGCTCCTCCCTCCATCAGGTGAAAAGTGGGCCAAGTGAAGATTAGATCTCTTGGTTCTAATATTGGAGAGAAGCAGAGCAAGTTTTAACAAGAAAAAATGAAACTGGGATTCAAATCACGGATATGATTTGCCTGAGATCCCAGGATGCTTGGCTGAAGAACCAACCCTAGAATTCCTTTCCCGACTTCCATTCTTATTATCTTCATGGGATCATGGGAAGCTCGTGGCTACTACACTGGACAGCAAAGATAGAGAACATTTCCATCAAGACAGAAAGTACAATCAAGCAGTGCCCGTTTGGAAATCATCTATATATGCCTTTCTCCCCTCGGTTAGATTGGTCTCCTGAAGGGCAAGAACCTTAGCCTCCTCACCTTAATACCTCCAGTGCCTAGCCCTGTGCTTGGTATCACAAGTGCTCTAACATATATATCAGGTGGAGCTGTTTGCTCGCAGAAAGCCTCGCCACCCAGCTAGGAGCTGGGTCTCAAGCTCAGCCTAGGGAACACTGCTGGAGAGTGGGGTCTGTATGGGATGGAGCATCCCCATCTTCAGATGGGGTGGCCAGGAGCCTGGGTGCTGGAACAAGAGGCCTCACTAATCCATCTGTATTCTACAAGGACAGGTGAAGAGAGCACCTGGTACCAAGGGGGATCCCAGGTGGAAGGGAGCAGACACCACCCATAAAGGAAGCCAGCAGAGGGTGCCACTTCCTCCACCTACATAGACAGTCCCAGCTGGGCAGCCACCTCGTTAGCACCAGGAGGCAATTCTGCTAATTACCAAACCCAAACTCAGGATTTGTATTTTTCTGAAATGCTCACCCAGGAGGCAAATCTTCTGCCTTTAAAAAAAAAAAAAAAAAAAAAAGTCAAGATGGATAGGGGGAGAAAAAGCTCATACCAGTACATACTAATTCAATCTAATCTTGGTCATTTCAGTTTCTATAAGAGAGTGCTTTCATAAAGCTACAAAGCTGACATCCATAACTCTCCAGTTTCCCCAGACAGGACACCTCTGCATTAAGTTTCCCATTTATCTTCGGAGATGGCAAATCATCCATTTATAATGGGATCTAATAAAGCAAGCTCCCGTTGCAGTCCGAGCTGCAGGAATGCACTTCAGATCCAGAGACACTGCTTTGGAGCCCATGATGGCTTCACCTTCTAGGTGTCTGAGTGCAGCTGGGGCGTCAGCATACGACTTAGTTGTGGTGCCATGTGTGTGTTGCGTAGGAGGGTGTGGCCTGCAGGAAGTAGCTACCCTACTCTCACCAGCCAGCCCATAAATCGCCCCCCACCCGCCGCCAAGACCGACGGAGGAGCTGGGCTGGGCTTGAGACTAGCTCTTTAAGGTAGGCAGAGTTTCCTGTAGGGATGACAATTTGGAAAGGAATAGGGTTTGGCAGGCTGACACAGAGGCTTAGCTGAGTAGGTGGGGACAATGTCCCACTGTCACAGGTCAGGTTGACTGAGAGCAGCCCCTGAGACGGAGTTTTGCCAGTGGGGTGTTTAATAAGAAGTGGCATGGGACCCACAGCAGTGGTCATGCAGGATAGGAACTGAGCCTGGAAAGAGGGAGGAATCCAGCTTTTATGCAGCCCAAAGGCAGCCTTGGCACCCCACAAGGAGTTGTGGTGCAGAGAAGGGCCCTTGGGAGCCATCCCGAAGCCAGCCAAGATGGCCAGGCTTTTCTATTCCCACATCAATCTGTCAGTGGATGTGGGCCACCCTAGAGGGGCACAACCCCAGCACAAGGCTGTCTGCAGCTGAAGTGATCTCTGTAGAGACCAATCGCGGAAGCCTGTCTGCTGACTTTCCCAGCTGGTCAACATGTTCTTCACTGACAGGAAATCTGGGCTGGGCTGCGTATGATAGTGTCTGCCACACCTGCTAAACAACCTGTGTCCCTCTCCTCTCCACCCAAAAATGTGGTTTTTATCATCTGTACCTGTGACCTATGATGCCAGGCCTTGGGCAGTGGCAGACAATGAGCCCAGCTTGACACTCACTCAGTTCTACGCCCTGAACTTTCTCTGGACAGGTATCATAATAAAGCCCATAGACCAGGCCTGACTGGCCCCTGGCTCAACATCTGTGGGAAGCAGAAGGACCTTGGCAGTGAAGGGGTTGCGGGCCCAGCCCTGGCTAGCGCTGGCACAGGCTAACGGGATGCAAAGACCAGGCAGAGCCACATCAACAAACTTTGATGAAGGGTTCCGGGTTCAGAAGATACAGGGCTGCTCTGATGGAGCACAGAAGTCTGCTAAGCGCCTTTTGGGCTTACCCCAAAAAGGGCTTAGCAGACTGCTGTCAGGGGGCTTGCCCCAAAAGGGGCTTAGTGGACTGCTGTCAAGGAACCTCCTGACCTGGTAGGGAGGCAGGTTTGGCATCCTCTGCTATCTCATATGAGTAGGAAATGTCCTCTGCCCAATCCCCAAGCTGGAACAGGGAGTTCTGGGTTGAATCTGGTGCCATTTCCAAAGCCCAGTAGGAGTCTGGCAGTTATCAAGTGTTAGAAATGGAAGGAGGGAATCCTCAGAGGTCCCAGTACCCATACAGGGCAGGGGTCCCCTTGTCTTCCTTTGGGGTCTCCCAGAAGCAGACTTGGAGACCAAGATTCAAATGCAAATCATCATTTTGGACGTGAGATCAGGAAACATCAGAAAGGACATGGGGAAGAGGTACAGGGTGGGAAGGCAGCCAGTGAAGGATTCCTTATCCAGCAAGTTTGCACTGTGGGGAACCCATGCTTAATCCTGCCGGGAACTCTGAGAAACAGTGGAAAACATTTGCCTTGGTGTGAACCCATCTAAGGGATGTGGGAACTGGGAAATTTGTGTACCGGCTCCAGTCAGTCATCACTTGAGGGCTCCTTTCCCAGGGAGAGTGTGGGCATTAATTCCCTCGCATTTCCAGTTGATGAGTGGGCAGCAAAATAGACTCTGGGGGCAGAGAAGCCTCTCAGGCAGAGAAATGCAGGTGCTGGCTGCTGAAATAAGGGAAGGGGATATGGGCAGCCACAGGATCTGCTGCCCCTCCTCTGCATCCCCAGGTATGGTCACGTCGCCTCTGATCAAGCTCTTCCTGGAACAGGGAGCTTACGACCTCACAACCACACATTGCATTGCTGGACAGTTCTAGTTCTCAGAAAGTCATTTCTTAGGTTTAGCAAAAATCTGCTCACTGGTCAGTCTTGGTCCAGTGCCTTCTACTAGAACCAGGGTAGGAATTTGTGTCTCCGTGTTTCACGGCTATCTCCCCAGCATCTATAAAAAACACCTGGCACGTATTAGGTTTCATCAGCCCCCTGCCTCTTAGGAGTCTATGACTCTTTCCTGTTTCTAGTTTGCTTTTCCACTTATACCCACGTGTTTAAGCACACAGCACCATGGCTGGATCAAAGCTGATCTCCAGTGCTGGTACTCACCCATTTGACAAGCAGTTGGTGAACTCCTACTACATGGCAAACACTCTTCCCAAGTGCTCTGGGCTCTGGCTCTCTGGGACATAAAGTATTAAGACAGAGTTAGAAGAGAAAAAAAAAAAAAAAACAGACACACACACACACACACACACTGGGGATTATGCTTTTAGGAAAGATGGGAGGTGTTGAGTTCATCAGGCACGAGTCGAGGCACACACAGACACGCCCCCCGCTCACAGCTCACTACGTATTCCCTTTAACAGAGCTAACTCTCCCAGTGTGGACACTGAGGCCCGGCCAGCCCTTAAAACACGGTCTTCAGGGAAATCAGCCCTTCAGCTCTCCCACCAAACCCTTCAGGAGAAGGCATGAGGAATGGTTTTCCTCACAGTCCCCAGGACGCACTTTCTGTTGCCCATTAGGTCTGGGGAACTTGGCTCTCAGAGCCCCTCCCAGAAAGAGCCACAGCTCCCTCTGCCATTTGTGTTTCCTTTGAAATGTCTCTGTGT